TGGGAAGGACCATATAAAGTGAACAATGTGTTGCCTAATGGAGCCTATCATTTGGAAGATTTAGACGGCACCAAGCACATGAGGTTCATTAATGGCAAATATTTAAAAAAATATGTTCCTTCCTTAAGGGAAAGTGAACAAATAAAAGCGTAACCAAATCGTATTTGAACGATCGTAGAGTAAAAAAGGCCAGAGCGGAATACGTTCAAATAAATTCCTTTATTATCAAATGCTCATTACAAAGCTGCGAAATACAAGATGCTAAATGCTCTATAAACTATGATTAAGAGCAAACTAATCTCCTGGTCAATCGCCGAGTAAGAGGGTGTACTGGCCCTGATCCCCGTCCTGATCGCACTGCTGCAAAGGCAAGCAGAGAGGTCGAGGAGCACTCCCAGCAAACAGAAAGGAAGATGAAGTGCCCTCACATCGCCTTCCTAAATGCATCGCTGCAACGACAGGCGAGGAGGCTGAGGAGCACTCTCAGCAAGCAAGGTAGCCTGCAAGCACCCCGAAAAATTGTCTTCCATCATTGAACTCCTTGTAGGAACGGAGACGATGGGAAAAACTTTGCTGCTGGCCAAAAATATTTCCTATACCTCCTATACCAAAAGTGACATCAAGAAAGATGGCAAAGTGGGCGGATCAGATGATCCATTTTCATGGAAAACGAAAGCTTTTGATTGATTGTCAAAAATGCCAAGCAATGGCAGCAAATTGGTTTTTTGGAAGAAGAAAATGGAGATGGAGATGGAAAGTATGAAGTATACGTGCATTTATAGGGAGGTGAAGGTGAAAAGACAGAATATAATGTGCATTTATAGTGGGGTGAATGTGAAAAGACAGAATATGAACAGCCATATTCGTGTCTAGTAAATGGGATTAAATGGCCCAAAATCGGGCAGAAATATCAAAATAAAATGTGTAGAAATTTTAGCTTAAAGAAATTAAGTGCCTGAGCGATTGACGATTAAAAGACGAACGTCAATAAATACACAAGAAGCTAAAATAGTTATTCATTGACAATGATGGCTGCCGTTATATCAGTACAAGGTTACAAAGGGAAAGTCAAATGCGAAATTACAAAAAGAAAAAGTTAAGGCATTATATGTCTTTAATTACAATCCGCCCCATATTGAACGAATTCTTTAGAAGCAAAGATTCTTTTTTAGATACGGCGCGAAGATATTGAGTACTTTTGGTCTTTAGTTCAACATTCTTGGCCAGTAAGGAGAGGACCTTGAAATGGATAACTTTCAACATCACTTTAAAATCAGCAGAAAGATTGAGCGACGAAAGTGTCAGTACTTGCTCCAATTTCGCATTCAAATGCTCAAGTTTATCCTTATGCCTGGCAGCACTAGCCCTTACCGATGTCCATATCCATGAAGGACATATACTCAAATATCGACTGTTTGAGAAACTTCATATCATCCTCTGAAGAAGCAGAAGGACAACTGGCTAAAGCAGGGCGAGATGTTTTGACTTGCCTCCAGGAAGCGAACAAGTCTTGAATGGAACGCACAATTTTATCAGCATCCTGCAAAGAAAATCGCCAATATTGAAGGTTTTCACCACACTAAACAAAGTGGAGGTAAAGGTGAAGCAAAGATTACCTCATCAGCAATCTTGGAAGATGGCATATCCCCAGCCAAATCTGCCACCTGTGGCTCCACCATTCGCGAGGACTTCCCCTTGTCAAACGAGAAGACCTTGCAGCAACGGGCAGACTCATGGGAACATCTGCAGAACTCAAAAGGCAACAAATCAACACCAATAGCACAAGCAAAGGTAAAGCATCAAAAAATGAATTACCTTCCACTTCGACGTTTGGGAGGTCAACGCCCTGGGAAGAAGGTGGCTCGTCCATTGGTTGTGATGAAAATTCTGGGACTGAAGATTTCTCTTTAAACGTAGTCCCTTCATTAGCTGGTTTGGACGAAGCAACCCCAGCAGAGGATGATGGAACAGGAGCTATCAACACCAAAGCCTTCAAGGGAGAGGTTGAACTTTTCTCAGAAGTCCAAATAAATTATCAGTACATGGAAAAGTCTCAAGTATGGAAAGGTATGCTTATGAGTAAACCAATTTAATTACCTTCCTCTTGACGATGACAGGGGTATCATTATCATCATCAGCATCATCCTCCAAAATGGGAGACGTTGAGGCTGGCCGTTTGCGGCTTGGGGCACTTTTAGCTTCAGTGGGCTTAGCAGAAAGAGAAGTCGATGGACGGGCAGATTGTTTAGCATGAGCAGAAGAAGAGGGACTCCTAATGGACACAGGAGTGACCAAAACAGGAGAGGTGGAAGAAATGTTTGACTGGTCTAGTGAATGGAAATCATGATTGGTATTAGTCGCAAACAATCTGCACTTCACTGACGGCTAAAGTAGTTCAAAAAGGGGATGGATGACACGATTAGGATTGAAGGGGGCTAATGAAAAGTTGCTCGTCAAAAGAAGATTGCGAGTATTTATAGTCTCTGCCTCCACCTTATTAATGGTGTGGAAGCGGTCTATCAAATTCTTTGACTAGCAAGGGGGAACGGGCCAAGTTTGGCCAAAACCAAGTTGGCGAGCAAAAAATTGGGGAGCATATATTTCTACCCCAACCTTGGCATTAGTCATAGTCAAAATATCATGGAACAACTCCCTCCCGATCAAAAATTGAATCCAAATGAACAGAGAGGTGCTTGCGCTATCCATAGTGGATGGAGGTTGCACATAATCTGGAGTCAAAAAAGGAGGAAAATAAAAGAAGGAAGTGATTGAATCCAAAGTATAAAAGAATGAAAAAATGTCCGTTCTGGACATATTTACAGGAGTCGGGGAATCAATGGCTAGCCCATAGCAGCTAGCAGAAGGACTGAAAAAAGATGGAGCACCGAGCTATGGGAAATAGGCTCTCAACCACATTTGACTGAACCAAAGAGGCCCACTGCCGGTAGGAGATGCACCATTCTTCAATTGGGATTGAAGAGAAGTGATGCCTCTATAGAAGGCAGCTAAAAAGAAAGAACATAAATTCAGATACCTACCACGCGCCAATTCGTGTGCTATGGGTAAATAGCTCAGGAAGGGCTTTATACTTGGCACACACAAAATGTATTTACAAAGCCAAATCAGAAGAAAGGCCACTCGCTCAATATGGGAAGGCTCAGCGCTCGAGTGGTTATGAAGGGTTTGCAGGCTTGAATAAGACTCGGTGAGGCCTTTACCAAATTTTGGGGGACACCAGAAATCAAAATACCAGGAAAAATGGTATCGTCCAAAGGTGGCAGATTTACTAGGGCCCCAACATCCCTTAAGGTAATGGACATGGGACCAAGAGGAAAAACAAAAGTATTATACTCATAAGACCAAAAACTTAAATTTATTGGAAAAAGTACTGGGTCAAAAATAGGGGGTTGAAGAGAGATTTCTAACAAATCAGAAATCCTAACATTATCAAAAATTACCTTAGTAGGACCATGGTCCACACGGCGAGCATGTCATTTACGAAAAACGACATCAGATTTAGGCCAAGTGAGAATACCTCTTTCGCGAAGTGGCCCCAGCGACAAAAAATTTAGAAACGGAGGGCCCTGAGTACAAGGGAACAACTGACCGATCGCCACTTGTTCGATAGCCTCGGCATTGTTGAATGAAGGATGTAGATAGAACTCATTGAGTTCGACATTGGCCGGTGCAAGAAAGTTCGGAGTTACATATGGCCGAGTAAGGAGTTTCTGAAAGTCTTTGAAACTGAAGGAGTCACTAGACTGAGATTGTGAAGCAGCCATTAGGGACGAAATAGAGTTTTATAGAGTTACGTAGCAGAGAAGCAAAGAGATGAACAGTAATATTGCGATAGAGGCGTGATTTAGTGGTGCAATGAAATAGCGTATTTGGGGGTTATAAGGGTTTGCAAATGTCGCACCTTTTCAGATTATAAAAAAAATAATGATTGAAATTCTTGAGAATTTCGAATGTTGCTGGGAAACACAAAGTGAATATGGCAAAAATTAATAATTGGTATTAATTCTGCCATATTGGGGGGTAATTGTTGACAGACAAAAAGTTCAGCCCAAGTCGAATAGCTCAAGGAATGAAGCCCAACTGGAAGATCCCCAAAAAATCAAATAGCCCAAAGAACGAATCAATCAAGCAATACAGGATAAAGGCCCAAATAGGAAAGCCCATGAACGCAGTAATACCATCGCCCAAGGTTGAAAGTCGCCCAAAATTTGAGCGAATGAATTGTCATGCAGTCGCCTAGAGCTGTGACCCTGCTCTCGTCCAAACATTCGAGTCGCCCAACATCTTAGCAAACATAAGGCGTTATGGTGCAGTTATTGGGTAGTCCTACCACGTCCCACGATTCAAGAAATTCAATTGAAGACGGTTGAACGACAAAAGTAATGGTAGCAGTTAGAGAAGACAGTTTCACGACAAGTTGGTCACTACAAGGAAAGTGGGCAGTTATAGAGCGATCAAACAGTTTTTAAGCGGTTGATCACTAAGAGATCATCCAGGGAGTATAAAAGGAAGAAAAGATATAGAGCAAAGGACCACGAATCAAACACTCTCAAAAAAAGAATATATAACTTTCAATTTCTTAGTTTAGATTTAAACACTTCTTTACAGTAACTCATGTGCTTGCGCCCCTTGGAGGCATTCTGTTTTTACTTTTCAATTGTAAAGTCATCGCCAATAAAAATGCCCCTTTTTAGGATTTTGTATCAAGAGGTTTGTCCCTTACACAATCGTCTGATCCCTTTTTAATTCTTAGCGACTAAATCGCGCGAAACAATAATGTAATGTGACATTTCATTATTGGATAGTTTAAAACATGATCAACTTTTTCATTTGATCATTTTACTACAAATCATTTTTTGGCATATATTTTTTCTGGACAAATAGCATAATCCACTTCTTAATGGATGATTAAATGTTACTTATTTTGATGAATTGATGGTCCTTAAAAAATTACTTATTTTTACGAAATAAAAAAAAAAAAAAAAAACATTCGTCCTCTCTCCCAGCTTCTGGAGAAGTCTAGAGATAGAAGGACGTACCCACTATTAGCGCTAGATATCTACTTAACTCTCAAACAACTCCAATTATCATCTTATTCGTTTTGCTTCTGGTGCGTAATCAGTAGAACGGAAACACTGTTCTAGGGTTTTCTCTCCATCATCTTAATCCCTCTTGGTTTGGGTATTGTTTGTGGTTCAATCAATTTGATTTGAAAATAATAATGGACGGTTATTTCCGGTTGAATATGAAGAGGAAGGAACTCGAAGATGTCAATAATGAATTCTCCGATTTCTCCCTTTCGTCTCCTGCCAGAAAAACCCGTCGACTGGTAATAAATTTTTCTTTTAGTTTCTGAATTCTTGTTAAATTATTGACTGCTAACTCGGTTTTTATAGTTTTTCGTGGGAAATTAAGTCATTAACTTAGGATAATTTTGTATTGTATGTAGGATGCTGATTTATTGCCGGTGATAAAGGAGGAGGAATCCGAAATTCCGATGTCGTTCGAGCAATCAGTACCGGAACAGAGCTTTGTAGGGAATGCGGAGGGTCTGACTATTGAAGAATTGCCCAGCGTACCGGAGAATCAAGAGAGGTCTATTGTGCTTTTCAATCCCACGAACATGCCTCTCCTGCAGTCCCCTTCAAATTTCTCGATTTCTGTGAATCCCGATCTGATTTCGGGGTTGAAAAGTAAGTGTTTTTTCCTTGTTTATTGAGTTTTATGTTTTACCGTTTGCACCGTAAAGTCACCTTGTCAGGATTTTTTGAAACGCGAGACTACTGTCTTTAAGGGTTAAAAATTGTGGAAAATTAGGGCATGAATGAAGTGCAGAAAAAGAATAGATATTTTAGGGCAATCAGGTTGGTCGAGGAAAGAATGTTGAGCTGATCATATTGGTGATAGGATGGTTTGGTCTCTGGTTCAAATCAAAATAGTGTTTATTCAATTTAGCTCAAATACGGCTAAATGCAGTTTCGGTCTTCAGTTTCCACTTAAGTTGTCTTGATGTTTAATATTAGTATGTTGAGTTACCGGGAATACAACGGTGAATTAGTAGGAAAGAAAAAAACTACTTCTGTTCATTATCTTTAGTTTGAATTGGCAAGTGGTCTTCTTGTACGCGTTCCAAATCACAGAAGGATTTAATAATAGGCAAACATAGATAATTGGCTTTATATGTCTGATCATGGTGAACTTTTGCTGGTTCTGATTATAGAATAGTCGGCTGCAAATCGGGGGAAGAATGTTGGTTTTGTGGTATCCTAATGGGACAGGGTGGGGATTAACTGCCTAAGCTTTGCCATTTTAGTTTTTATATAATCTCTTTTAGTTGGTCCTTCGGTACAACGGGGGTCACATAACCTAATTTTGTGGGTTTTGTCATCAAAGATGACGCCAAATTGCATTGGGTTCATTTCTGAGTAGAAGTTTTGAAAACAAATAACCAGTTTGTGCATTTTGTGTAGATCAAGTTTTGTGGTCTGGCCAATCAAGCAATTGGAGATCAGAGAATGACGAGGCTGTGACAGAGGATAAGAATTCCAGTGCAAGTAACAATTCTCTGGCTGTGGTACCGTGGGTGCCATCGCAGCATCTCTCTGCACCAGGTGTTGAGGTTCCTCCTCAAGCGGATGTTATTGGAATGATGGGCGATGAAGAAGTAGGGGATGCAACAATGGATATTGAAGTTGACAATGACATGATTCCTTTCGAGCAAAGGAATGTAAACGAGTCTAACGGGATGGGTTTAAGTGACAGTTTACGTCAATGGCAACAGCAACCCTGGATGATTCCACAGCCTCCCCAGAACACGGTAACTCCTGTTGTTTGGTACCGATGATTGGCTGAATTAGTTTGGATCTTGTAATTACAACACGGTTTGATTCTCATTATGTGAATGCTTCTCCCTTTAGAGATGCATAGAGTAGATAGGGCATGGAAACTGTTCTTCGCCTACGTTCCTAGTTTCCAGCAAAGCAAAATGTTGTGATTCCTCTTAAAAGAGAGATTCGTTTAAGTGTCCACCATGCCCAGAACTCATGTTACATGATATGTTATCACATTTGCTCAATTTTGCCCTTTGGACGTATCAAAAAGTTGGATGTCGGAATTTTTTTATTTCTATTTTTAAAATAATCTCTGGAATGGGATGCTGCGTGTGTTTGGCGTTATGCATATTTCCTTTGACATCTATTATACTTAATGCTCTTCTGAAAGAATGCAGTTTAATATAAAAATACGGGAGATATATGATTAGCAACTAATTTCCAATTTCTGTTCTGTAAACAACATTGTCATGGTCTATACTGTATACGAAAGATAATAGAAAGAATCAAGTTATGTGTATACAGTATACATGCCTCTCACACAAGGGGTGGGGCCCACTCCCCTCATGTGAGGGGAATGTATACCGAGCTGTCAAGCCCGGTGTACAAATGGCTTGAGCCTAACAGAAAATGGAATTGGGATTGTTGATGTTGGTGCACAATCCTGGTAAATATTAAAGAATATGAAAATGTCCGTTATTCAAAATTTGATTTGGAATTTCTAGGTTATGTTTGTCACGTCCTAGTGGGTGTGGCATATACCAGTTATCGTCCCATATTGGTTACCGATCAAAGGATCACAAACTGATCCATGGGGTTCGGGTATGAAATGGAGCGATGGACAGGACTTGAGTTGGACTGGGCCCTTGTTCAAATTTTGCAAATAGGCCGTATTGGAATGATGGGCCGAAGCTTTTGAAGCCCAAAATAAAATGGGTTAAGTCAGTTGTAATTGGGAAAAATTCATATATGAGAAATTTAAGTGTGATACATTTCAAAACTAAGAAATAATGTTTAAAACTTTGAAAATTAGATTTTTTTTTAAAATTTAGTTTATGAAATAATTAATTAAACATATATTTTATTAATTAAATAAATGAAGGTTACAATTTTATACAATTTAGTCACAAATTAATTTTTGGTTACAATAAAAAATTTGATGTTGTACAATTTATTTATCGATCATAATTTTTATCAAATAATAGGACGCATTATTCATTGGTTATAAATCACAAATTTTACAAATCGTAACTTATTTCATGATCACAAAAGATCTAATAATAAATTATTTTTTAGTCACAAATCATCATATTATGGGTCACAATTTAACAAATTAACTTAACAAATTTCAGGTTACACATTAACCAATTTACTAGTCACACATGAACTACCTCACAACAATCGCCAGCACTGCCACTTATTTAAAATTGGAAATTTAATTTATGATATGATTTTGTATAAAAAACTTTCAAATTTTATTCTTGAAAATGGATCTTAAAAAGCAGAGTACCGTGTAATTTCCTCCTCTAGTTTGCATGGCGAGCACTGACCCAATTACGGGGCTTAAGTCCAAGGAAAATATCCATTGTTTGTCTTCAT